GAGATTCCCAGTGGGGAGGGGGGGCTAGGGGGAGTGAGGAGGGTGAGGGGGGATCCCTCCATCAACATAGATAAGGAACTTATTTGCTGTTTATCAAGCTGGAAAGTTGTTTGGGGACACTGAAAGATTAACTATCTTGCCCAAAGCCACATAGCTAGAATATGTCAGAAGCCAGATCTGAAACCAGGTCTTCTTGATACTAAGGCAAACCCTCTATCCACCAAGCCAGCAATGCCTCTCCTCTTTTTAAGCAACCCCTGATAAATTACGTACCTGACTCAGTACAGTTCTAATCCTGTTCTACCTCAGCTATTTAAGAAGTTTCAGCCAAAGCCAAATTAACTTACAGAGCAAACTATTTATTCTCCCACACCCCAGTCAGGGTTGGATCATGTCGTTTTTGTTCATTTGGGGCAAGTAAGATTGCTCACATATGTGCTATTTTCTGGAAAGAACAGAAACCTCTAGGTTTCCAGTACTATGAATGAAATTGTGGCTGTCAACCACCATGTTTATTTGAGGGGGAGAAATTGGGCTTTATTTCCCAGGCTTAATAACTAGCAGGAGTGCAATAAGACCCATTAACTTTGCCCAGCCAGCTATTAGGTGACCTGAATGAAGTCTATCAACAACTCATTATTTCTTGGAATAATTATTAATTCCTGTATCTGGGCACAAACTCCAGAATAGCCAAAAACATCAGTATTGCATTATTACAGAAAAAGTGGACTACTGCTTAATGGGATACGATATTACAGTTAAGTAGTCTCAATGAACATCTATTGTTTGAAACCTGAAAAGATTCAGTGTTTACACAGAAGTCCATTGAAATGGATAATTAGTTTTCATTAGCTGTGAGTATCCAACTGCTGAGTATTTCTAACTCTTCATGCCAACCTCAGTCAGAATACCTATATGGCATTATTACAGAACACAGATGCCACATAGTTAAACATTAAAGAAAGAAAGAAATATACTTTAAGGACCTGTCTACACAAAATAATGGGGATTATTCAGGAAATTATACAGATCCAGTCAATTCACAGAGAAGAAAAGGATCAGTGGGGAAAAGAGAGCTGCCCTTAAACTCTGAAAGGGATGTTAATGCGGAAGAGTAAGATTAGACTTTTTAGCCTCAGTAGGAAGAACAAAGTTGCAAAGCAGTGATTAGGCTTCATATAAGGAAAAACTTTACCAGTGGAAAGAGCTGCCTCTGAAGGCAGTGGGTTTTACCTTACAGGTGGTCCTGCAAATAGAGGTTAGGTGACCACTTATCAAGTATCTGTAGTGGGAATTCTTTGAAGAGTATGGGTTGGGTTAGATCAGTGGTTCTCTTCCTTTCAGGGAGTCCACAAGTTCAAAACTATTTTCATAAAACTAACACATTGTAATTACTACTCCAGTAAATACAGGTAGATATAACACACATCAACAAAAGCTCTTAGGAAAGGATCCTCAATTTTTAAGAGCATAAAGAGTCTGAGAACCACTGGCTTGGATGATCCCTAAAGTCCCTTCTACCTCTATGATTCCTGACTCAAAGAATGAATGTTAAGAGCTACAAGGGATCTTGAGACCATCCAGTCTTAGCCCTTCATTCTATACGTACTTTGGCTTGAACAACTCAGGGGCCCAGAGGGTTTAAGCATTTTGTTCAGCAGTACAGGGCATCATTGAGTGGCAGGACAAGGACAAGAACTCAGATCTCCTGACTCCCAGTCCGGTGTTCCTTTCAATAAAAAGAAATGTTTAAAAAAAAAAAAGGCTACTTGGGGAGGGGAAGACTTGGGTATGCAGAACCATTTTGATTTGTAATCCACATGGATCCAGTTATTAATGTAACAAGCTAATTCCTGACAACTTTGCCAGGCTTGGGCCTAGCCTGAGTCTCTACAGGACACTACTCTCCTTCTTTCAGTGAATAAAAATGTCGTGAACAGAATTATTAAAGCACAGGGGTCAGGGATAAAACGTAAAGCCTTCTAATGTCCTCATTAAACGGTACATTTAGATGAGCACTTCCACTCCTCAGACAGACTCTCTTCCCAGAAATATGATTTGTGACTTAATGAGGAAATTTACAGCATGTAGGTATGACTAAGCAGCAACAAAAGAAACAAAACTACAAAAACCTCAACACAGCCCTGCCTGGCCAAGATGGTAACTTCCCACCGATTGTTCTCTGAGCAAATGCTTCAGTATTCTGGGGTTGGTTTCTCTTGTAATTAAAATGGTTTATGATGGTTTATAAGCCATTACAGGCAGTATTTTATTCCACCAATCCCTTCAGGAAAGAACCCACTGTAAAATTACTCCACCCAAGTACAGGGCAAGAAACTAATGAGACCTCCTACATTTCTTTAGGCATATTAAGATTCTTGACTTAACGAAGCATTTATTAATATTGGGATATACTTACAAATTTAATATGAACTTTAGCTGCTCATCCAAGAAATTTAAGTCACAACAACTCTGATACAGATTACTCCTGCAGTATGAGAATGTCAACAATATTTTTTTTTCTTTAAGAAAAAATCTCTAGCCGTTTAAATGAGACTTACTCTCCTTGCTGTCTTTATCCTAAGGGTAAAACATGAAGTAACAACTATCCCCAAATAGATATGGCAGCCAAAAAAAAAATAGGACATATGTTCAAACCCCATCTCTACCATTTAATACCTGGATGACTTTAGTGGCTTTCACACCTCTGGGGTTCTGTTTCCTCCTCTGTAAAATGAAAAAAGTTGGACTCCAAAGCCTCCAACTCCTTCCCATCCTTAAATTTATGATCCTATGGGTGTGGGATTATTATTAGATTATATTATTTATATCTAATATATATATTATATATATCTAATATATATTATATATATCTAATATATCTAATATATCTAATATATATTATCTAATATATTATTAGATTATATTATTTATATCTAATATATATATTAGATATAATTAATGTATTGCTAAGTTTCCCTGAGTTATTTCTTTTTTTTCTTTTCCTTCTTTGTTATAGGGATCACTGAGCAGGGGAAGGAAAAGAGATATATCTGGAAATTAAAGTATTGTAAAAACAAATTATGTCTGTGTTTTTATATATATACATATATATGTATATTAATCTTGGCTCTGCTACTCATTTGCCTTGGGAAAGTCACTGTACATCCCTGAGACTCTATTTCCTTATCTGTAAAATGATGTGGCTGGATGAGATCTGAGGATCTTAACCTTTTTGTGTGTCAAGGAAGGAAATGCTAAATTTCAGGTAGAGGTTAGTGAGAATCAAGATGTGAATTTATTTTCCCTTCCAATTTCACAAACCCCCTGAAACCTATCTGGAGATCCCTTGGGGGTTCCTGGACACCAGGATAAGAAACCCTGGACTAGATGGTCTTTGAGATCCCTTCTAGCTCAAATTGTACGGTACTAAGAGCATAAATGTCCATGACCTGCTTACCACAGTATGGCTGAGACAAATCAAGCAAGTATATGTACCTCAAACAAATACTTATTACATCATTAGGTATCACTAAAGAGAGGAATTATTTTTATGGGTGACCATTATAAAACTGACAGAGCAGGAAAAACCTGGTTTGCCTTTCTTTGTACCCAAGCAAAACTATAGAAATATATGGGGGGGGGGAGTGGAACAGAAGGGAGGAGGTAGTTCCCATTTAAATGTTTCCTTTGGGAGCTAAATTTAAAAACGAAACAATGGACTTGGCACAGCCAACGTAGTCAAAAGGTCCAAGATGCAAAGGAGAACACTAGAAAAAAGAAAATCCTCTCTGGTCTGCCCCTAAAAGTCACTGCCAAGAGGTACTGTTCATCCTCCTATCCCTCGACCCCAATCCCTGTACAGCCCAAGAGTGTGATCTAGTGGGAAAAGCATTGGATTTCAGGTCAGTGGACCTGAGTTAGAATCCTGCCTATACTACTTATTAGTTTAGTGTGACCTTGGGCAAATCAATTCACCTCTTTGATGGGGTTAGGAAAGATCACCCCTAGGGCCCATTCGAGCTCTAAATCTAGGATCTAGGATCCTAGGTTGGGGTTGGTTGGAGTTAAGGGAGAGAAGAGCCAGTAGACATTTGCGTCTTCCCCTTTGAAATGAAAGATGGATTCAGTCAGAAAACCTGTATTCCAATCTCTCCTCTGTCTCTTACTCCCTGAGTGACCATGGGTGAGTCAATTTACCTTTACCGACCTCAGTTTCCTCATCTGCCTGGCACCTAATGCCTTAATAAATGTTTGATGACTGACCTATAAAATGAAGGGGACGTGTTAGATCCAGCTTTAAGTCTATGTTGTAATAATCTGGTAGGAAGCCGAGAGGTCTCAGAGGTACCAAAGACCGGAAGAAAACATCTGTATCCTCCCTGGTAGACAAGAGTGCTGGATTTGAAGTCAGAACTCCAGTAGCCCTGCCATTTTCTAGAAAATGTACTTTGGATCAGTCACCTAACCTTTTCTGGAACTCAGTTTCTTCATCTGTGAAAGGATGGAATTGGACTAGATGATCTCCGAGATACCCTCCAGCTTTAAATCTAGGATCCTATGGGTGGGGAGGGAAGGAGACAGGAGAACTGTATTCTTTCTGGTGGAAGGAGTGCTGGATTTGGAGTCAGGGAACCTGAGATTCAAATATTGGCTCTTCCACCAACTCCCTGCGTGACCTTGGGCAAGTAGCTTCCCTTCTCTGGGGTTCTCGGTTCCCTCACCTGTAAACTGTAAACTGTGAAGGGGCTGGACTCCATGTCCCCCGAGGTCCCTCCTAACTCTAGATCGAGGCACCTTCTCCCAGAACATGCCCGCGGAGTGGGTTTAAAGGCGGAGCTGCCAAGTTCCCACCTTCCCTTTCTCATTTGCAAAGTTTGGCTCCCGCCCCCCGGGGGCTGGGGTAGAGGCTCGTCCACGCCGGGGAACAGTCTCCGGTCCCCAATCCAAGCAGGGCTTCCCCCTCCTCACCCCGCAGCGCCCCTGCCTCCTTCACTCACCGCCACAAAGCCGGAGGAGGAGGCGATGAACACTCGGATGACCATCGTCTCACTTCATCCGCTGCCCCTTACTCGAGAGGAGACTGGACGGCGGAAAGGCGAAGGAAGGTGAGAGGAGGAGGAGGACTGGGCAGTCCCGGCTAGACCCCCAGCGACTCTTCGCCCGGTTGGGGGGCGGTGCTCCAACGGGAGGCGCGAGCGCGGGCTGAGGATGCCGAGCGGAGCAAGTGCTGCAGCCTGACGTCTCCGAGGACTACGGGGATCTGGCTTCGACCAGCGCCAGCCGGGAGATAAAAGCCCAGCTCCAGTCCAGCCGCCAGGCTGGGGAGATGTGCAGGAGGGGAGGGGGGCGGGGGAGGAGGCCAGCCGCAGGGGCTGGTGGGACTTGTAGTTTGACCCGCTCCCCGAAGGGAGGTGGAGAAGGAGGCTTTGCGCCAGGTGGAGTTCAAAGGACGACCAAAGAGAACTGCATTGGAAGGGACTTCGCTTGGCAGTCTGCTCCTACCTTTTGCGGAGGATGAAACCGAAGCGGGAAAAGGGAATATCCCTGAACTCCTTAAACCTCAGTTTCCTCCTCTGTAAAACGGGGTGGGTGAGTGGGGGAAGAGTTGTTGATGGGGGTGGGGGTGGGGAGCGGTCAATGAGAAGGGAGGTCCATTACAAGGCCTCTATCTAAGGTCTGTTCCAGTTTCAGATCTAAGATCCTCAACTTACCCAAGGACTTACCCAAGGACTTACCCAAGGTCACATTCGTAGCAAGTGGAAGACCTTGAATTTGAATCGTAGTCCTCTAGAATCCAAATTTGACACTCTTAATACTCTTTCTATCTATTCTGACCAGGAAAGTCACCAGTGAAAATTTGAAAGAGAGAAAGAAAGAAAGAAAGAAAGAAAGAAAGAAAGAAAGAAAGAAAGAAAGAAAGA